CCGTAGACTTCCTCTGTGCGCCCTGGTGTTAAATATGCAGATTTCTGGTTCAGCTGCTACGTCTGCATCGCTGCTTGTCTGGCTAAGGACTTGTCGCGATTTGAGTGGTGACTGCCCTGACTTCTGGACCGATGGGGAGGATTAATACCAGGACCGCCTGGTTAAGAAGCGGCAGGCGGCGCCTCCACCCTCCGGCAGGACCCCATTTCCCCTGCAGAGTCCTAGCAGTTACTACAGATGGGATGCTTTCGGGGCGCCTGGGTGGCTCCATTGCTTGAGCGTCCGACCCTTGATCTCAGCTCAGGTCTTGATCTCAGGGTCATGAGTTCAAGCCCCGCGTTGGGTTCCACATTGGGCTCCACGTTGGGCATGGAGCCTGCTTAAAAAAACCAATGGGAGACTTTCCGTGATTTATTTCCACCCGGCCACCGCTGGCATATAAGCAAGCTCCATTTTGTGCATTTGCGGTGTGGTTGGCTGTGTCCCTGTCCTCAGTGTCCAGCAGTGTCGTCTTCTAGTTTCGTTCTCCCCCCGCCACCCTGGGCTTTTGCAGCAGATCCCTAGCTCATCTCAGGGAGGCTGGTCTGGCCACCTCCTCCCAGTTGGGACCCTTCATTTTGTTTTCTGCTCCCACTGGGTTGGAGGGCGACGCTGTTGGGGTGGGGGGGGCGACGGCAGCCATGCCTCCAACCTTTGGTCTCTCTGCTTGGGGCAAGATGTTTTTTACTTTATTTTTTTCTTGGCTGGGTGGGAGGGGGACGAGGGAGTGAGGACGAGCCTTCTTCCTGCGTGTGAAATACGCTTTTATGATGTGAAGGAAGAATCACCGAGCAACGCCTGCAGCTGGCGGGATGGGGACATGGTGGGACGGGGTGGAGAGGTTTGCCGGCGGGAATCTCTCCGCGTTTCTGGGACAAATGGAGTCTCCCCAGGTCGGGGAGTCTGCTGACGGCTGCTCGTTATCGCTAAGTCAGGTTGCTTTGGCGCGCTCCGGGTTTGGCGCTGGGCGCTCTTCCCCAGAGACGCGTGTGAACCTCCGTTCTGTGTTGGGGTGGTCCCCACGGTGCCAAGGTCCTGCGGTCGGCGGCTCAGGACGGGCTCCTGCTGGTAGTTACAACGGGGTCAGAGGAGGGCTCTGTGCTGGGCAGGGCGGAGAAGGTGATAGCTCATGGGGCTTTGAGGGCCCAGTAGCACTTTTTACCGGACACATGAGAGTTTTTAATATTTTCAGTTTGTTGTTGTTTTGTTTTTTCTCATTTTTCCAAATAGGCTGAGGGCAACATGTTCAAACAGAGTTCTACGTACATCATGCTCTGGGGCACTCGGTGACAGCGCAGGCATGTCGCTTCCTGGGGATTTGGGTCCCGAGGGGGTATAACCAGGGGAGTCCTGGGAGCGGGCGGCTCTCTCCTTGCCGCCAGTGAGCAGGAAATGATTCACGGCAGCAGCAAGAACCTGCTGAGCGAGGTTTTCTTCTGATGGCTATTGGAAGACCTGCATAGAGCAGAGAGATCACATTTTATCAATTATATGCTTCTTTAATTTGTGGAAAATATAAAGGAGCATGAGGTAAAAAGACAAGATCATCTAGAATCACACCACTCAGAGATCTTGGCATTTCCTTTGTATTTATGATGTTCAGCAGCTTCACTGAGGTATGATGGGCATAGAATAACCGGAATATATTTGAAGTGCACAATTTGGAAGGTTCTGACACATGTATACACCTGCGTGGACTCAAGACTGAGCATATATCCCCCTTGCCCCTGAAAGTGTCCTGGCCTTTGTCATCTCCCCCTCCTGCCCCTCCCTCTGTCCTTCCCCATCACCCCAGCTGGCCACTGGGGTCTGGCCTTGAGTGTCCCCTAAGTTCCTAAGTGTGGCTCACATTGAAAACCCCGCAGAGGTGGGCTGCTGGTTTTGAGGTGGGATAGCTTCTAGGAACAGCACATCTTTTGGAATGCAATCCCAGTGGCCTACCTGTTACAGGAGGTTCCCACTTCACAGAACAAGAGGTGAAGGAGCCTGCCCACTTCCCAGGCAAGGCCTTCTCTGTCTGAGGTCTCTGGAGGCTCCTCCGCCAGCTCACAGGCACCTCGGGGACACCCGACTCGGGCCCCCAGCCGGGTCCCCCTGCAGGAAGGCCTCCCAGCAGCTACCCTTTGCCACAGCTCAGCCCCACCCGTCACCCCCGCCGCCCCCGGCCCCAGCGCGCAGGGCAGTGCAGGGTCTAGGCCTCTCTCTCTGCAAATACGCAATCAGCAGCAGCAGGCTGAGCCCTTCCTGCTGGGTGTGCAGGCACCAACCAAGGACCCAGAAGATGGGACCCATCGGGTTCATGCTTCCGGGTCCCTCATCTCCATTTGAAAACCTAAACTGAAGGTCTCCGCGTGGCTGTCCTGCAGCCCGAGCCCAGAGGACCCCCTCGGGACCCCGGCCGCCCTGTCTTTCTGGCCCCCAGTCGCTTTGCCCGAGGGGTCTGCTGCCTTTGAGCAGCCTCTGTGCCCCCTCCTGCCAGGGGTGTTTTTCTGCTGTGGAGAGAGGGAGCTGTCTCTTTGAACTCTCCCTAAAAGGACACCTAATTCCTAAATAACGCACATGCCAGGGAAGGTTCCTGTGCTAACAGGCTGAGGACGGAATGCTGGCTGCTCACAGCCTCTGCACACGGCCTTTTAAAGACACGACTTACGAGTGGTTCCATTTGCAGCCAGGCAGGAACGGGACCCGTTTGGCCCCACACAGCTGGTTTTAAAACTTTTGGCAGTTTTAGTCGGCCTTAAAACTGTAAGGTACCCTTGGGGGCGCCTGGGTGGCTCAGATGGTTAAGCGTCTGCCTTCGGCTCAGGTCATGATCCCAGGGTCCTGGGATCGAGCCCCACATCAGGCTCCTGGCTCAGTGGGTAGCCTGCTTCTCCCTCTCCCTCTGCCTCTCTCCCTGCTCATGCTCTCTCTCTCTCTCTCTCTCTGTATCTCTGTGTCTCAAATGAATAAATAAAAAAATCTTAAGAAAAAACAAAACAAAACTGTAAGGTACCCTCGTTCCAGTGAAAGAAATCCCACGAGCCTTGTTTAAGGAACACATTAAGTGTTGCTCTCCGGTACCTAAAAAAGGAACCTGGTTTCCAGATTCTCCTGAACAGCCTGCCCCAGCTCATCCCAGCTGTGGAATGGCCATGGCTCTGGGCTCTCCCAGGACAGGAAAAAAAGGGCAGTGCCTGTGTGGGGAGGGGTCTTTGACCCCGGGGAGCAGGGTCCCACGCTGGGGAGGCCGCAGGTGGCTCCCCGAGAGGTGGGAGCTGCAGCATCCAGGGGACTAGCCCAGAGGCAGGCCAGGGTCAAGGCCACGGGTAGCGCTGGCTGGGCTCCAGCGTCACTGTGGGGACAACCAGATGGGGCAGGCCGGGGGGGTGGGGACAGGGGGCCGTTCTCTGCAGCCCGGGGGACGACAGCAGGAGCTGGGCCTGAATATACCAGGGCAGGGACACCGCAACAGGAGAGACTGTAGCCTGGGCGCGCCCCTCCTTTTGGTCCCCGGGTTGGGGACCCCCAGCAGCAGAGGTGGCACCACGTCTCCCCGGGACTGGCTCTGCAGGACGATGGTGCCGCCCGTCCTTCCCTGACCCAGCAGATTCCTCTGGGGCTCACGGGAGCCCACATGGGTTTCTGTTGCGTGCAGCTGAGCCACCTGACTGAGAGGCGCAATCATCTTCGTCCGCCCTGGGTCTGACCCTTCCAGAGCAGCAGCGGGGCTGGCGCTTGGAAGCACCCTGGCTTGCCTCCACCACAGAATGTCACTGACACGCAGCTGGGGTCGGCGACCCGACACCGGACAGACCCTGATGCGCAGAGTGGCTGCGTGCCAGGGAGGACCCGCACACACGGCAGGAAGTGGGGCGGCGGAGAGGTGGCCCACGTTGTTCTGAGGAAAGAAAACTGCTCAAGGCCCTGAGTGAGGCTGCGGAAGTGGGCTGGCAGGGGCCTGGGTGGGGGGGGCAGCTGGGAGCCCTCGGAGGGGAGGAGGCGATGGCCGTGGACAGGCCACATTTGGGCCTGGGGTTCGCTGGGGAAGGGTGTGCCTGGCGGGGAGAAGGCAGGGTGCCGGGAGCAGGGAGGGGTGGGGACAAACGGAGGGGTGACCCTTGGAATGAGGCTGGACGGGCAACTTGGGATTCCTTCCATGAGTCGGTGTCTGAGCCCTCCGGAGCTCCCTGTAAGCCCCGGCACCTCACCTGTCCACGGCAGGCGGGCTTTCTTAGGGATACCCTGATGGGCCAGATGTCACCCCTTCCCCGAGTCTGCCCAGATGGCGCCGGGGGTCATCCACAGCTGGTCCTTGGGGTGCATCCGCCGTGCCCGTGTGGGCTCCGTGGGGACACACCTGGGCTGTTGGAAAGTGGCAAGAACTCAGGTGGGTGGGAGGCTCCTGAGGGCAGGGGGGCCCCCCCGGGCTCCCAGAGAGCCCCAGGGATGTGCTCTGCCCTCCCAGCCTCCTCTGCTGCACGCTCCAGTGGGGGCTCTCCGTCCCAGGGCGTTGAGGGACGGGTTGCCTCACCTGCCTGTGGGTCCTCACCCTCCGAGAAGCTCTCCCCACACGCCAGCCTTTCATCTCCGTCCTTTCTCCCCAGCTTCTCAGGCCTAAAGCCCAGGAGCTTTCCAGGGTGCCCTGCCAGCCCCAGTGGGACCCGTCCCCAGGGGACGCCATCCAGGACAGTGGGCGCAGGGACAGCTGGGCCTCCCCTCTACCTCCGCGTGCTGTGGGATTTGTTGCGTGTTTTGTCTGGGTTTTTCTTTTTCTTTCATTGCTATGAAATTTCGCTGTGTCAGCTTCAGCCGCCCTCTGAAGATGTGTGCAGCCCTGTGAGTCTGTCGCTTACTTAGTTCAATGAATTAGTTCTCCTCCCATGCCCTTCTCGTATTCCGGTGGAATCAGTGGGCCTTGGGGCCTCCACATAAATCCTCCGAAAGCACGAGGAGCCCCCAGCCTCCGCTGGGGTTCCCCTGCTGTATCTCTTTCCAGAACCCCCGGGACAACAGTTCCCTCTGACCACAGTCCTCTCCTGACCCTGAGGCTTGGACCCTGCGCAGCTCAGTGTGTGGTTGCCTGCTGGGGGCTGGCCACCTGTCCTCTTCCTGAGAGCTGCCCTTGCCCTGAGGGGACAGCTCTTGCCCACTTGTGACATCCTGGCCTGTCTTCCAGAAGCACAGGCTCCTGCCCAGCCTCTGTCCATCCCACACCGCCTCCCCCTCCAGGGACTCTGGGAGGGCACACCTGAGGGCCACTTCAGGGCTTTGCTGCCAGGGCTCCCAGCTGCCGGCAGGTGGCCTCTGTGGCTGGCCTGCCCCCCCCAGGTCCTCAGTGTCAGTCTGCCCTTTTGTTAAAGGCTGCCAGTTGGCTCTGTTACCTGTGACTGAAGCTACTCTTTATCTCTTCCTCTCCCAATTTGACACCTTACCCTGTGAGCCAGTTGTCACCTCTGCCCCATCCAGGGCTTCAGCTTCCCATTCAGCACTCCATTCTGGCATGGTTATGGGCTGGGTCAGAGCCCTGGTCTGCGGTTTGTGGAATTCATTCATCCTTCCGCCCAGCCATCCATTTACTCACCCATCTCTCCATCTGTCCATCCATCTATCCATCCATCATCTGTCCACCCATCCATCCAATCATCCATCCATCCATCCATCCATCCATCCATCCATCCATCTATCCATCCATTCATTCCATCCATCCACCTACCCACCCATCCATCCATTTACCCACCCATCTCTCCATCTGTCAATTCATCTATCCATCCAATTTGTCTTTCCATGCCTCCATCCAATCATCCATCCATCCACCCACCCACTCATCCATCCATCTATCCACCCATCTATTCATCTGTCCGTCCATCTGTCCATCCATCCATC